CAGTGGATCTCATCATGCCTTTCTAACATATCAAACTGGATGCAGACTCACTCAATTCGATAATAATTAATCGCGATTCTCAAGCCTGATCTGCTCTTCTTCTGAGCCTATACTCTGTCAAAGCTCATACAGTCATCTCTACCAGTTCCCTAAACCAGTAGGAGTCACGCTAAACTTTGCTGACCACTTGACTTTATGGAAAACGGGCCATTTGCAATGATATATGGTCTGCAATTCTGCCTTTTCTAGGCTCAAGCTTTATTAAGCTGCTCATTTTGGCAGTAGTTATTTCACAGAACTCACTTCTTGCTGACCTAATTGCGTCTTTCAGAAGCCCCTCAGAAAACTGGAACTTGACCTGTGTTAACCTCCATAAATTCTCTTATGTCAAGCCTCTGCCCGGGTCTGTACTTCAGCTCTCATTAAGTGCAAGAATTACATTGCAGCATCTGACGATGCAATGCTAATGTCTGTTTGACTATTTTTTCATTTAGATGATTCTTCTATCCAAGGTGATTTAAAATAGCGAGTTTTAATACTCGAATACTTGAGTTTTAACCTACAATGTCTTTGTTACAAACCGAGCTTTTTAAATACTAGACTACATCATCCCAGTGGTGCAAATAACAACCTTCAAACGCTCACTCATCATCCATCTCTCCCCACAAAGTGTTTCTCCTTGTCCAGGTCTAGAATTCTTTAAAGTCATTATTCAAAGTTTTATATGTCACACGATCAGTTGAAATGGCACTGAAATGTTTTCACACATTTGCGTTGGGTCTCCACAATATGACTCTGCGTGGAACGACAACAGTGTGTGGATTCACCTTCACTGTACAGTACGTGTGTTTGTGTGTGTGCTTTAGTTTGCCCCTCAGCCAAACTGCCTTTATCTGGCATGGTGGGAAGTTGTTAGATCGTTAATCAATGTCAGAAGGGCAACATGCCCTATGGCGTTTCTCATCTCAAAGGAGAGTGCTGCCATGTGGCTGTGTCATAATGGAAATGTATGGGCAGCCATTGATGGGCGAATGCAAGCCTCAAGATTCCCGTCTCATAGAACCTTTTGTTTATCATTCAGTCATGACCAGAAAGCATTTATACATCTCCTGGATATCCTCAGCTGCAGATGTGCTTTCTTGGCCCAGTTTCGGGGAACAAGATGTGGCCTGTAGAACAGATCTATGGTCAGATGTGCTGATATGAATGAATTGTGTGCTGCAAAGAGACACACCTGGGGTTTCTGTACGAGGATTCCTGGATGGTTTCAGCTTCTCAAAAAGTTTAAGACGTTTAGATAGAGCCAGACCGATATATCGGCAGGCCGATATTAGGCATTTTCCAAACTATTGGTATCGGCGGTTATAATGGCCGATAAATGAATATTTCAAAAATAAAATAAAAATGGACGAAACGCGCTTGAACCATGTCATGAGTGTTGGAGTTGTATAGTTTGTCCACCAGAGGGCGCTCTACACCGTTCCTGTTGGCAACACTCGTTGAGTTGGTCACGATATATACATTGCTTGATTAAGAATTAAAAGAACATCCCCATCAGTTCTCTTTTGTCCAGTTTTACTGTTAAATAAGCCGAGAGTGAAGCGGAATTAGCTAGTAATAGTTACGTTACGTTGTTAAAGTGTAGTTGACTGACTGTCCTTTTAACTTTTGATAATGTGACTGAAGTATTTCTTTAATAGCGCGTGACAGTTATAACAATGAGACGTATCATCTCTCCTAGGCCTGAAAATGTATGTTTTAGGGATGGGCAACAATTAATCGCGATTAATCGCATCCAAAATAAAAGTTTGTGTTTACATAATATATGTGTGTGTAGTGTGTATAATTAATTTGTATATATAAATACCCACACATGCATGTATATATTTAAGAAAAATGTGTTATTAATATATCAAATATTTATATTTATATATAATATTAATTGTGAATAAATATATATATAATATATACATGCATGTGTGGGTATTTATATATACAAATTAATTATACACACTACACAAACATATATTATGTAAACACAAACTTTTATTTTGGATGCGATTAATCACGATTAATCGTTGCCCATCCCGTTTTACAATTTGCAGTATCACGTAATCCATTGCTAAATTATGGCTCATCATAGACTAGCTAACCACAAAGCTAGCTAATGCCACTATCATCAGTCTGTTCTGTTGTGACAATAAAAGAAACAAGTTTCTTTTTAAAATGCATTATCATATAATTTTAGTTAAAACTCATAAATATCTACAAATAACTAATGTTAGGGAAATCTGTTAATGTTTTGTTGCGCGTTTCTGAAATAAAAAAATAAAATAAAAATATCGGCCGATATATCGGATTTTAAAACCAAAATCGGTATCGGCCTTCAAAATCCTTTATCGGTCGGGCTCTGGTTTTAGAAAGTATCAGGGACCTTAAAACAGTCACACTAACACACTAACAATCACACTACTCTATATCTGCTGCAGTTGTTGCACTGAGGCCCTATCTTCCATTTTCTGTTCGTCACAGCGTGCCGTGGTGCTCTGGCCGATCTCCAGCGAGAGATATTCGTCGCATAGAATGCTGACACAAGGAGGAACTGTCCTCAAGGAGGAGGAGAGGAGCGAGAGAGAGAGTCTTGGCTTGTGTGTGTGTGTGTGTGCTGGCTAATGTCGGAGCTGTCAGTCAAACAATGAACAAACTCTGTCCTGGGGACAAAAAGAAAACTTCACTCACGCTCCTTCCTAACTTCCTCCACATCCTTATCGCTATAAATCAACTCCACTGGTTTTCAAATTCTGAGACATTCTCATCCTTGAGTTAAACACACTGTCTGTGCCAATCTGCATCCACATATTAGTAGTCTTTCTCCTAAACAGGAAAACCTAAATATTTTTAAAATTGACTCGCTGGATATCTGAATTTTGTGTAATTTTGCAGACATATTTCTTAACGAGTTCTTCTGTTTGAAAACATTTGGACTGGATGTAGCAGAATTCAACTGAATGCTGAAGTCTCAAGATAAAAATGATCTCAGCTTCAGCTTTGGATAGTGAGGAGGCGCTCCTGGTCTCACCTTTGTTCCAGTTTGCAGACATTTGTTCGTCCTTTCTTTGTTGCTGACGAACACAAGCTTTCTTCTAAGGCCCCGTCCACACTACTGCATTTTCGTTTAAAAACGGAGACCTTTTGCTACGTTTACACCTCCCGTCCACACTAAAACGGGAAAAAACGAAGACCTAAAACGGAGAAGTTTATAAAAGCTGCAGCTCCGTTTTGCACTCAAAAACTTTAGAAACGGTGACGCAGAGGCTGACGCTCGGCTCTATGATTGGGTGTCATCAGTCATGACGTATCCTTCCCTGATTTGCCAACCACTGTTTACACCGGCACGCGCATGCCCAGTGTTGGTGAATGGTCACGTGATCCACGTTTTCAGTCGTTTTAATGTGGACCAGAGCCCGTCTAACGGAGAGCCTTGGCACTTCCTATTAGCCCCGTTGTGTATCACCTTGGTTGCAGTTCCATTAGAATTCCACTGGGGGTGATCACGGGCGAGAGCAGAATGAATGGGAGTCTATGGGGCTAAACGGCTAAATGTGTCTCTTTCACCTGCTTGTCGTTAAATAAACATAGATTTTATTGTTGATTCCGCAAGTTCAATATAGATTTTAGGCCAAAAGTCGAATGAACGAGTACTTATGTCCTTTTGATTTCTTACAGGTTAGGCTGTTGTTGGCCTAGCATTCTGCTATTGTGTGACGTCATCACCGGATTTTAAGAACGGATAAGTGAACTTAAAAATGCAATTTTCAGCTGAGTGTATTATCTTAGCCCTCCCTTTTGAAAGCAACTTTCAAATTACTTGACAAAAAATTACATCCTGAGAAAAGTGGATTTCTGGGGGTGAAACCCCATTGACTCCCATTCATTCTGCACTCGACCGCGAGCGCCCCCGCATGGACAGAGACGTGTTACTGCAGCCAGTCCTGAACCTGAAAGTAACCAGCCAGTGCCAATTCTCTTCAATTAGACATTCTCCGTGTGGACGGAGATCAATTCTAATACGCAGATAAAACGCTGGTGTGGACGTTTTTAATTCTCCGTTTTTAAACGAAAACGCAGTAGTGTGGACGGGGCCTAAGAGCAACAGAGTCGCGCGATGGCACGAGCGTCATCATTATGACACACCCCTTACGGCATTGGTCTTGGCTTTTGTTCAGAGACTTATCCCGGCAATGTTACTAGGTCCCCAACCCGGCATCGATCCCAGGTCGTGTTTGCGTTCACACAGAAGGCGTTCTGGCAATTTCCCGGGATCAACGTGCTGTGTGAAAGGGGCTTTACATTCTTCCAATCTTCCATAACTTCACTTACATTCTGCTGCTCTCCATCCAGCTGGTTTTGAATGTAAGAAATGTGCCTTATATAAGCAAGCACCCATTTAAAACCATGTTCAGTCAGGGTGGAGTGAACTTAAAAACAGCCTAATTATACAGAGCTTTCTTAAGAATGATTAGTCAACTAGTCGTTAAGGCATCCGATTTTGAAACCTCCATCACAGATGGCTAGAGTCTCCGGTTCCTAATGACTTGACTTTGGTAGATAAGAAGAGTCGAAACCAGACTGCTGTGTCCATGGCTGCCCTACACGTATCCATATTCTTTGCTTTGTATTTTTTTTATTTGTACTTTTTGCTAACAATGTTTCATTTGCCTTTTCTTGAGCGGTCTTCTCTTCTCCCTGTAGTGTTTGAAGTGGAGATGATTTTACTTTCAGAGGTGTGTGTGCACGCCACCCCCAGTTATATTTATCTCCAGACTTCAAAGTGCCACCCTGCTGTGTTTTTGCATCTGAACAAATAAAGAAGGTTGTTTCTCCAGTGTAGTCTTCCATATGGCTCTCTTCCGAAATGAACCAGCCAAGGGGAACAGGAATCACTTGTTCAAATATAATCACGTTAACCAGTTTTTTCTCTCTCTTTTTTTCCCCTACAGTTTCTCCTAAGAAGAAACTCCAGAACTCCTGAGAAAGGATGGCACCCATGGCACATTGGATAGGATGGTGCCTATGGGCATCTGTGTCACTCACATGCCAAGCTTGAAAAGTGGAAAGAAAGACAGTTTTAGCAGACACATTGAACACTTCCAAGCTTTAGAGTGAAACTTTGCACAGTTGGCCATGGCTGCATATCCATGGCTTGGAGGATAGGGTCCCTTGTTTTAACATAGCACTGTGAGTTTTCTAACGGGTCATTTAGCAAATCCAGCACTTCCTCTGGCCAGGAGGACTTTAAAGAACAACTGCCACACATGAGCTGAACCAGAGGATCCAAAATGGAGGTCACACAGCAACACTCTTTCTACTGGACTGGTTAAAGCTGCAGATAAAAGCATTACTGCAAGGGCAGTATGCAGGCAGCTGACTACCCAGCCACATATAATAACACAGGTAAGAATCACTTTACCCCTTGATATGTGCACTAAGTAAATTAAGTTTCTCCTTAAAGTTATATATGAAATATATAAAAATGTATGTACTATTGCATCTGATTAAAGGATTAGTTCACTTTTGAAAAAACTTTTGCTGATAAATTACTCACCCCCATGTCATCCAAGATGTCCATGTCTTTCTTTCCTCAGTCGAAAAGAAATTAAGGTTTTTGATGAAAACATTCCAGGATTTTTCTCCATATAATGGACTTCAATGGGGTCCAAACGGTTCAAGGTCCAAAAGACAGTTTCAGATGCAGCTTCAAATGTCTTTAAACGACACCAGACGATGAATAAGGGTCTTATCATGCGAAACGATCGGTTGTTTCAAAACTTATTCCAAAAATGTAACTTGTCTAAGGACAAATGCTAGCCTTGCTCTTTTCTGTGAGGCGCGTTTGTAACGTCACGTATTACGTAATTACGTTCAAAAGGTCACGGGCGACGTAGCCGGAAGTACAGAGTCAGTGTTTACAAGTTGAACGCATAGGTTGAACGTGCAAACTAACTCAAACACCGTTTACAAAAAAAGGAATTAAAAGGAAAAACAACGATGTCGGAAGATTTTGATTCTGTACTTCCGGCTACGTCGCCCGTGACCTTTTGAACGTAATTACGTATTACGTGACGTTACAAACGTTTTTCTAAAAGTCCTTAGAAAAGTTACATTTTTGGAATAAGTTTTGAAATAACCGATTGTTTCGCATGATAAGACCCTTATTCATCGTCTGGTGTCATTTAAAGCCCTTTGAAGCTGCACTGAAACCCTCATTTGGACCTTGGAACCGTTTGGACCCCATTGAAGTCCATTATATGGAGAAAAATCCTGGAATGTTTTCATCAAAAACCTTAATTTCTTTTCGACTGAAGAAAGAAAGACATGGACATCTTGGATGACATGGGGGTGAGTAAATTATCAGCAAAAGTTTTTTCAAAAGTGAACTAATCCTTTAAGACTACACATCATTTTTCACTTGCGAGTCCTTGCAGTTGCTGCCATGATCACATAACCAGTCAGCTTCCAACTTCCAACATTGATAAATAGGAAATCTCCTATTCATGTGTGTAAATTAGCTCCAATTCAGTTGCGCCACGAATTATGTTTTAAACTGAAAATCTAAAATCTAATCTCAAAACATGCACGTCCTCTGTGAAAGTCTCGGGAACAAAACATTTTCATCCAATCATTGCAATCGGTCCGAATTATATGATGCCTTACCTGCCTGTCAACGTATGCATTCTCATCATCATAAGCACGTTACATGAGGCTTTGCAGAGTTTTAGACAGACAGTCAGTGAGCACCACAAACAGCAGCCACCTTTTACACTTCCACCTGAACCAAAAGACAAGCTTATGCTAACCGTAATTAGAAGATGGACTGGCGTTACACTCTGAGCTTTTCACGTCCTCATACACAGCTTTTTGCGTTTGTCAACTCTATCAATTCCGAAATTAAACTGCAGCAGTCAGGTGGTTCAAGTACGAGCTCTTTAACCCTAAAACTGTATTCTGGACAAATGTGGGCAAAATAGTTTTGATTTATGTAAAAAAAAAATACTTCCCTTGATCTGAGCGGTACAAGACTTGGCTACTTTTCCAAAGTTTGCCTCCTGAACACACAGTTTTTTTTTTTTTTACTCAATTCTACAATGTTAAGAGGGTGAAAAAAATTTATTTGGGTCAAAAATGGGCACCCATAGAAATGAATGGGAAAAACTGTAATTTAGAGCATTCTAAAATAAGACACCAAGTGATAGCAAAGTCACTTCATCTTTAGGTTTTAGCTCTAAGAACTTATTGGAATGATATTTTAATGTAGTAAAAAAATAAGCATTATTTACATAGAAAACATGGTACTTTTTGAAGTAAAAAAATTCAAAAATACCCCCAAAATAAAAACAAACACCATAAATTGATACACAAAAATTTATCGATAATAAATACAAATTAGGATCACACATGAGTCCTCTGTGCCCACATTTGTCCACAATTACAGGATTAAAGGCGATAAAGTGAATACGGTTTGAGGGTTAAGTTGTTTGTTCATTATTATTGTAATGTTATGTGCTTTGAGACATAATTTAACAGCATCGTTTGTTATGCTTTGCTGTTCATGTGTTTTGGAGGAGGCCGGCGTGACGCTTTCAAAGCTAGCCTCTCCGAAATTGCACATCGCATCTTTTTAAACTGCAAGGAGTCACTATAATGTTAGGAGGTTATGTTTCACAAAAATCAAAAAGGAGAATGTTTTCAGAAAACGAAACTTCTGTCTTTGTCCGGGGCCGGCCAAGTGCTGACGCTGAAAATACTCCAGGATCCAGTTCTTAATATCAGATGTGGAATTTGAACTTGGAGTGGAATTTGGACCCATACATCCAAAAAATCCTGAGAGACCTGAGGTAGAGGATATTGTTTTAACAACTGGATGGCCCCCAAGCTGAGCCGGGGTCACACTGTTCTGCTCTTTATTCATCGCGGAGAGAAATGAAAAAGCAGAACATTCTGTTCAAAAGCATGTGATGGGCTCTCCAGCTGAGGGGGAAGAGCGCTTCTCTTGTGTTCATGCATAAAGAAAATGTTAGATTTATTTTTTGTCAACTATTCTTTAACATAAGTTGAACTTAAATACAGAAATGACAATATTTTATTGCTTTAAAGTAGTCGACGGAGACAAGCATTGACGCTTAGTAGATATTTTTATACAAATACAACCCATCACGATTCCAGTATCATGCAATTAGTTAGATATACGTCTCTAGTCACTTTTCATTTAATATCTGTTAAAGGTCATTTGATCCTAATCAAAGAAATGTATGCTGCCACTGTTTTTGTGTCAATATGATTTGATTTAATTTGCTCATGATTTTGCCTAGCAACAGAGACTGAAACTACTGATGCCTGTGCTTGCTCTCCCTCACACACACACACACACACACACACACACATTCTTCATGAAGAAGGAATTGTGTTGGTGTTTCATGGCAGAGGCGTTTCGAGTGTGGACGGCTTCCAAATCGATTCCCGTCATTCTGTGAGCCCACAGCACACAGGCTTGCGTAGGGAGATTCAGAAAGGTTGGGGGAGTTTACCGTGGGCTAAATGCCGGGGAATACGGCAATACTAAACAAACAGGGTGGGGGCGTTGGTTACACTTTATATTAGGTGTCCTAAACTACTGTGTACTTAAATAAAATAAAAAAAAATAGTATAGTGTAGTTATTGTGTTGATATTGTATTGCAAAACAGTTTTACTGCTATTGAGGTGGGATATGGGTTAGGGACAGGTTTGGGTTGGATTATGGGTCAGTTAAGGGGTAAGTAGGCTAAGGGAAGGGTCAACTGAGTACAGTAATTACAGATGGAGATTAATCACAGCAAATCAATCACATCTGTAATTACTGTACTCTATATATGTACTCTATATATGTGTATATATATGTGTATGTATATATATATATATATATATATATATATATATACACATATATATTAGGGCTGTGCAAAAATTAATTGCGATTAATCGCATCCAAAATAAAAGTCTGTGTTTACATAATATATTTGTGTGTGCTGTATATAATTATTTTGTATATATAAATACACACACATGCATGTATATATTTAAGAAAATGTGTTATTCATATGTAAAATATTTATATTTATATAATATAGATTATGCATTTATATATATATATATATACAGAATTGAAGCGCAAATAATTCTTAAATATATGCATGCATAGGTATTTATACGTATATACAAAATAATTATATACAGCACACACAAATATATTATGTAAACACAGACTTTTATTTTGGATGCGATTAATCGCAATTAATTTTTGCACAATATTTTGCACTAATATATATATACACATAAATATATATATACAAACACACACATATACATATATAAATTGTATAAATATTCGCTTACACGAGTGCATCGTATCACATTATTTAATTTATAATTAATTTAAATGCTAGTGCATATAGTTAAAGACACCTAACTATTGTGGGACCACAAAAACTATTGATACTTGCAAGGTTAATCTCCAGTTAGCAGTGCTTGTTTTTATAGTTTTTGAGGCATTGCGATGGACTGACCTAATTAAACGCCCCACATGCACTTTAAATCTAAAGTTAAAGGTGTTTCAGAGTCTGGCAAAATTAGCTTAATAGTTTTCAACTTTAAAAACAGACCATCACACCAGCTATATGTAGTACAGTGTCTAGCCCTTGTCTGTTTTACATTTAACTGAAATGTTAATAAAGTGAGAACATATTGCGACGGCTGCTCCGTCTCGCACTTTTTAGACTGGGTTCTGCGACGCACGCACACTTAATTATCCAAGCTCAGCCGGCGGAGGTCATTCTCCTCTCACCACGACACACACACACCGCTCCCCCTCAATGTGCTGGGGAATTTGGCGCAGAATTTTTTCGCAGGCTTCCTCGCTCTTATTTTCTTTTCTTAATAAAGGAGCCAAGACCTGGAGGCGGCGACAGACACAGACTGAGGGAGAAAGACAGGGAGGGGAGTGTTGAAAGTGACAAAAGATAAAGCGTGATGTGTGGGAGACAAGGTCCAAATAAGATTAAAGGTATTAAGAACAAAACTCATTTCGCAGCCTTGAAGGAGAAATCCAGCGGAGAGGTACACAAGACTTATGTAATGCAGCAAGACATCTTATTCAAAGCTAGACGGCAAAGTATAGCCCATCAAAATACATAATATCTGATTCTGACTATTTTCTTTTTCATCTTTTTAAAGGTAGTTTGTGTAATTCACAACTTAACATGCAAAAACAATTATCAGTAAAGCCATTTGTAGGTGGCACTATGGCTCAAAACACTGAGAATCCTACATAGCTTTACATTAAAACCTGATTTGGGGGCAGGACCAGGGTTGCCAGTCCTGGAAAACAGAACTAGTCCAATAGCCAATCATATCAAACCCTATCCCAAATATCAAAACTCTAAAACTCAAAAATCCATATTTCAGTCACTGTTGTTCGTAATGCACAATTTCAACTTGAAAATCACCAGCATGGTACGTTATAAGCTCAAATGCTCATTGTCCCTCCATCGCAGAACGCACATCATCTAGCACAGTTTTATCATCGGTGACCCATCAAATGGGTCGCATTGTTTAATTAGAGCATTGTCGAGTGACTAATACCGAGTTTTTGATAAAAAATTACAAGCTCAAAAATGGATGGATGAATCATTAGAAATTAGAAAGGACGAGTTTCCATTTCATGCTATCTTTCAACAGGCTGTTTATTGGTTAATGTGTTGGCTAATTAGCGGTTTAGACATTGGCTATGTTTACATGCAACCAAATTATCAGTCAGTAATCAGATTGACGGCGTGTTTTATTGATTGACGGGGTGGCTTATTCCTTATCTTATACGATCGAGAGAACATGTTGGGGCCAGTTGTTCAAAACATTTAATCTGGATCAAAATGATCCGGATTTGGAAATCCCATTTTTTTCTATCCAGGATCGGGTAATCCGTCTTACTTTTATGCCGGTTTTTCAAAGCAACATTGGACTGGATCACCCTGATCACAGTTTTCAAGATTACCACTTCTCTAAATGGGACAATATCACAGCAATGTAAATAACAGGTAGAAGAGCCAACATGGGGTCACGTTTCTTATTTTGAGACAAAACGCAAATGGAGACGATAATTTTTATTTTATTTTTACTTTACTATACTGAATAGCTTAATTGTTAGCATATATCACTGTTACAACGGTTACACAAGTCAAGTGCAAAATATAAATAAAAGTATATACAATAAATGATACAAATTTTAAAGTTTTACAACATTTTCTTCCTGAAATCCACCTTGAAATCCTACAAGGATTTGGGAGTTGGGATCAGGGTAAACCCGTTTTTTTTTTTATCAAAGTTATCCAAATCCCACTGACAAGTTTTGAACAACACAAACTGAAGGTTTGATCCAGATTAAAACTAGGATTGGATTCCTGATTTCAGATTCCTTCTTTCCCTTTTGAACAAGCCATTTTCAAGATTTGATCCAATCCGATCAGCTTTCCTTTGAACAACGGGCCTTTGATCGGATTGAAAACCAAAACCGAAAGGACTGCGCATGTGATATGCCGTTGAAATAGCATAATGACGTATGACGCTCGGAACAAGCTGGTCTTCCGGATCAATAAAGTGTCATATGTATGTTTCAATACATTGTAGAAATAAAGTGGGTTGCCAATGCTATTTCATGATGTCAACTGGAAAATTAAGACAAAAAAGACACCAAACCGCAGACATGAACAGCTGACACACTTGGCCTGAACTTGCTGGCGGACTCCGAATCCCAGGTGCAGGGTAAATTTAGGCACTGAGGCTTCTCTCACACACATCCATCCCATGATCTCCATCGCCACACACAGATGGCCTTGTCTGACTGCTTCAGGGGAGAGGAGGGCAGGTGACATCAACAGCCGGGCCAGGGAAGAGAACCCAGACACGCAGGGTGGTTTGAGGTCTTATCAGGGTCGGATGAGTCACGAGAATGGCAGGCGATTGTGCGATGGGCAGACGATGACACGGAGAGCGGTCAGAGAGAAACTGCAGGACAAAAACACTGCTGTATCAGACACACTGGCAACGTACCAAATGACAGTCTAAAGGCACCGTTACGTTTAGTCTTGATCTGCAAAATTTTGGAATCTGCGCAATCTGGAGTTTAGAGTGAAGGCAACAAATTAACATGAAGAAATGTGATTTGCAGATCGGATTGAAGTGGCCGCAAAGTGATTTGAAAGCCACAAACAATAAGCACCACTCACATTTTGTTCAGAAATGGTAAAAATCTATTGCAATGCACAGAGATAATTGCAGCAATGTCTGCATGATGGCTCAGACTTTGGTCTACATTTCTAGATCATCCTGAAATTGAGTGACACGCCTGGCTGTCTGTTCAGGACAGATAGATGGTTGTCTGTCCTCAACCAGACGTTCAAATGTGTTGGAGTTTGTTTGGCTGTTGTTGTGTAGAGACTGGCGTCTTAAAAAACATGGTGTCTCATTTCCTCTGCTGGTGATCAAATCTGCGATTTGTGTCAGCTAACAGCCTGATTCAAGCTTTCAGAAATCCCGCGTGCTATAATGGCTCTGAAGTGAATGTTTTATGGTAGATGTTATGTCATCCGGTGCGGCGTCAGGTCACGCATCATGAGTCTGGGTAGATTAAACGCTCTCACAGCATCCCTGACCTCTTTTATTCTGAGCGGCCTGCTGAGAGACTGCCTCGTATGTTCTCTTCCTTGGGATCTTTTAAATGCACCTGTACTAAAGAATAATAACAAAGGGTCTTTTTTGATTGGAAATTAGAAATTATGATTACATTTACAATGGTTATCTTTTCAGTGGTATTGGTCTTATCCTTAAATGATGTCATCATTCACTAACACTCATGTTGTTCCAACCAAACTCATATGATTTCTTCCTTGTAAGACAAACAGATTATTTTTATTATTATTATTATTATTATTATTTTTGCAGGATGTCCAAACTGCTGTTTTCTATATAATGACATAAGCCATTTCACTTTTGAGCTATAAAAATTGAAAATATATTTTTTTTAAAATAAAAAGTAGGTCCCACTTTATATTAAGTGGCTTTAAGTACTATGTACTTATATTGAAACAAATAGTTTGATACAATGGACTTATTGTGTACGTACATGTTTTTACATTGTACTTATATTTTAAAAATACAAGCATGTAATTACAACTGTAACTAATTTATGTAATTACATCTGTAATTACAAAGCTGACCCATCCCTTACACTTTAACCTACCCATACCACCACACCTGTCCCTAACCATACCCTCAATAGCAGCAAAAGTGTTTTACAATACAGCATTAGCACAATAAGTACATTGTACTTATTTTCAATATAAGTACATAGTAATTAAAGCCACTTAATATAAAAATTATGATGTAAAAATGACTTAAATTTGTGCCTTTTCCAGTTGTATTGTTAACTAAAACTATTAATAATATTGCTGACATAAATGTGCAAAGTTCTTGGCAACTACTGAAATAAAATAATTTTAAGTTAGAAACAAAACAAAATAAAACAAAATACAATTGTTTAAAAAAAACATATAAAAAAAACCCCATCAAAATCTCAAATTGAAACTAAAAATATAGCTGCATGCAGCGCTGACGGGCCCAAGCCCTGGCGCCTGTATAGTATGCGCGTACTCTTCTTATTATGAAATTTGTGTCATGCTGACCCTCGTGTACATGTAAAAAAAATATTCTTTGGCCTCAACTGTGCACAGTGGGAAATATGGATTTAAAGCGAGTAAATGTAAAAGAACAACGTCAGATAGCACAATAGCCACATCCATGAGATATTTTAAATTTAGATAAATTTTTAAAGGGTTTAGGTCTAATTTAGGTCACTTTCAAACGAGTGTGAAGTTATCATTTGCAGCTCAAATGTTTTTTTGTTTTTTTGTGCCAAAATCACTCTGAGAAGGCAAATTGGTAAAAAAATAAAATCAAAGTGCATCTACTTAAGTCTGTCAAGAATGAATACAGGTCATATTTAATCTCAAAATCAAGTTTATTTTAGGCCGAAATTTATTTTATTATTATTATTTTATTTTTATTTTTTTGCATTGTGACATTGTCATTAATCAAACTGTTAATTGTCTGAAGGTAAAAAAAAAATGCCTATATAAAATTATGTTGTCAGTGCACTACCAATAAACTTGTTCTATTCCTTCATTTTGTCATTAAAACTGATAGAAACAGATCCTAAGTCAGGGATAGGCAACATCGGTCCTGAAGCGCCGCTGTCTTGCAGAGTTTAGCTAATCAATGTCTTCAGGATTACTAAGGCTACAGGCAGGTGAGTTTATTTTTCCCTAGCCTCTCCACAAATGAGCTTTTAATTGAAAAGCTAATTCAAAATACAATATTGGTATATAAATACTACTAAAATAACTCTCAACATTTATTTGGTAACACTTTACTTGAAGGGGTGTGCATAAGACTTACATGACAACTTCATAACCATGACATGTTTATAACAACTGTCATTAAGTGTCTTTTGCTCAATAATGACATTTTGAATGCAAATATGACATTGTTTAAGATGTCTTTATGACATAACATCACCATAACATCATAACCTGTCAGTGTCTTTGTCATGACAATTTCATGTGGTTGGCTTTGACATTGGCTGTCATGAGGCCATTATAACTGTGTCATGAATATTTTTCGTAACCTCAATTACAACACATTTAATTGGTCATTAAAGAGTTATAATGGCTTCATGACAGCCAATGACAAAACCAACCACAGGACTATATTAAGTTTGATCATTAATCTGTCATGACAGGTTGTGTTATAATCTTAGTAATGTCAAGTTGTCACAAAGACACTGACTGGTTATAATCAGTGTTGGGTAAGTTACTCTAAAAAAGTAATTCATTACTAGTTACTAATTACCTCTTCAACAGTGTAATTAGATTACTGTACTGATTACTCTCTATAAAAAGTATTTAATTACTTTTAATTACTTTCAAAATCCCATATCAATCTCAACCAGCTGAATAATACAAGGATAGACATGAATCTGTTTTAATTCTTTCAAATAAATACTATAAAATTGCATGAATTATCCTTAAACAGACCAAGGTGGAGAAGGTTACATTATAAAAACATACTTTTTAGCATCAGACAATACATTTTGATGTTAAACCCACTATTGTTTTATGTCTGATCTCATGACATTTCACACTTTTTTCATACATATTTTACAATAATTTGTACGAGTGCGATTTAGACACGTCATAAAACGCATACGAATCGCTGTGAGATCGGATTGATCTATACACAGTATTTACCTCAATTACATCAGAAGTAACTAGATAAATGAAGAGTAATCCCTTACTTTATATTTTCAAGGGAAAAGTAATTAAATTACAGTAACTAATTACTTAGTAATTAGTTACACCCAACACTGGTTATGATGTATTGGTTTATGTCAAGGTGTCATTTATGTCATATTTGCATTAAAAATGTCACAACTGAGCGAAAGACACAAATATGCATAAAATTTGTCAAAATCATGTCATGATGATGAAGGTGTCATGTTGGTCTCAAGTAATGTTTTACCATTTATTTTAATGTATATTTTTAATTTTTTGCTAGAATATATACAATAATGATTCAAGTAATTATTTGTTATCAGTCACTTATTGAAACCGTGGCCTAGCAGTTAGATCAGCATAAAAACCTGTGCACTCTGAATCCCATAAATTGTTTAGAAACCAGCCAGTCAGATCGGAGCTTACCGTTTTAGCCAGCTCATATCCATCAGACAGCCAGTGAATGGTCTATGGGCGTACCGTCTGAGGTTTAGAGAGCGATCGGGTTGAAATGTTTCCCATGTGCTATAAAGTTTTGAAATATCTCTTTGTATCTTAGCGCTCCACCCAAAGCCAAATTATAATTGTTATTTTCCTCCACCAACCTGCATATACTTAATTATTCAGTCTGTCTGGTATGTGATGCCTTCGGTTTTATGATAGTGTCACATTGTGTTTTAACAATCCTAACCATCCACCGTTGAAGGCACATTTTTTCCTCTTTGTCTTACTGCAGAGTGCAAGTTCCACTGCACCAATGGCAGATGTCTGAAACTTCTCTCGCTGATTTGTAATCATCTGAATGAATGTGGAGACAACAGTGATGAGGAACATTGTCCTGCTGCTGTACCTCCACCCCCAGACACCATCCAGAGTAAGTCCATCCGCCCACCTCCGTCTCAACAACACATCTGCATCTCTGGCGGCTGATATTGCATCAGTGTTGGGGTAGAAAGCTTCTCAGAATTAATGCTCGGCCAAATGTCATTTTTAGAAAAGATGGCAGTAAAGTAGTTACATTGAAGCGAGTTAGGGTCATGACCAGTGTTGGGTGTAACTATTTACTTAGTAATTAGTTACTGTAATTTAATTACTTTTCCCTTGAAAATATAAAGTAAGGGATTACTCTTCATTTATCTAGTTACTTCTGATGTAATTGAGGTACATACTGTGTATAGATCAATCCAGTCTCACAGCGATTCGTATGCGTTTTATGACGTGTCTAAATCGCACTCGTACAAATTCGTATGAATTATTGTAAAATATATATGAAAAAAGTGTGAAATGTCATGAGATCAGACATAAAACAATAGTGGGTTTAACATCAAAATGTATTGTCTGATGTTAAAAAGTATGTTTTTATAATGTACACTCTAAAAAATGCTGGGTTGTTTTAACCCAATTTTGGGTCAAATATGGACAAACCCGAAATGTTGGGTTAAAAACGTAATGTAAAAATTTAACCCAACGGCTGGGTTAGTCCATATTTGACCCAAAGTTGGGTTAAAACAACCCAGCATTTTTTAGAGTGTAACTTTCTCCACCTTGGTCTGTTTAAGGATAATTCATGCAATTTTATAGTATTTATTTGAAAGAATTAAAATTTATTCATGTCTATCCTTGTATTATTCAGCTGTTTGAGATTGATATGGGATTTTGAAAGTAATTAAAAGTAATTAAATAATTTTTTTAGAGAGTAATTAGTACAGTAATCTAATTACACTGTTGAAGAGGTAATTAGTAACTAGTAATTAATTACTTTTTACTCAACACTGGTCATGACATGAGATATCAAATTTGCCCTTAATCTTTTGATTAAAACATCCTGCCATCCTCAAGCATTTATTTCATCAATGTTTAAATACACATATTAGTTACACTAAAAAATGAGACCTAATTTATACAGTTGACAACATAGTACTAAACAATTTATTTCACTTCAAAATAAGATTTGTTGAATACATTTTTCTTTCTTTGAACCAGTACATTGTGATAGTCCAAACTAAGCAACTGAATCAGACTTCTCAATGAGCGACGAGACTACTGTACCTGAATGTTTGATTACTGTCACAATTAATTGCAAAGGTGAGTGTGTAATCTAATGTGACGTTAAAACAGCAATATAACGCTACTTAAGCTGGAAAAGCTGCACAATTAGGAAAAGAGCTGAACTGCGGTTATACTGTTAAATGTAAGTTAGGTTTGTACTGTTGGCCTGATATCTTTGCTGTGTGTTCTCTACTGTTGTCTTCGCTGGTCCATCTTGCTTTATTGATATTTAGTATAACAATATGCCAAGAGATGTGTGTGGTACAGTTCAGGTCCTTGTCCGAAATCCTTGTAGAAAATATTTGCATGTTAAAAAGTAAAAAAGGGCTCATGTTGTGTCAATCACGTATACACACTGCCTCTGAAACTTTTTTGGGGATCGGATCGTGTTTTTTGAGAGGTTTTTTGACAATTCAGAGGCACCGAATGACGAATACAAAAAAAAAAAAAAAAAAAAATGCTTACGAAAATTTTGGACTAAGGACCTTTAGGTTATGAACGTGGTATATATATATATATATAGAGTGTATATACTGATAACTGACAAATAATTATTTTGATAATTTATTAATCTGCCAATTACTTTATGATTTAACCCTAAAACCGTATTCTGGACAGATGTGGGCAAAATAGTTTTGATTTATTTTTAAAAAATACTTCCCTTGAAGACTCAATTCTTTTTTGACTCAATTCTACAATGTTAAGTGGGTGGAAAAAAAACCTCCTTAATCTTGTATTTGGGTCAAAAATGGGCACCCATAGAAATGAATGGGATTAAGAGCATTCTAAAATAAGCCAAAATAAGACACCAGGTGACGGCAAAGTCACTTCATCTTTAGGTTTTAGCTCTAAGAACTTATTGGAATGATATTTTAATGTAGTTAAAAAAACAACAACATAAAAATAAGCATAATTTACATAAAAAATATGGTACTTTTTGAAGTAAATAAATTCAAAAATACCCCCAAAATAAAAAAACACACCATAAATGGATAGACAAAACTTTATCAAAGACAGTGATATAACATTTATAATAAATAAAAATTAGGATCACACCTGAGTCCTCTGTGCCCACATTTGTCCACAATTACAGGATTAAGGGCTATAAAGTGAATACGGTTTGATGCCCTTTAATTTGATTCTCTTTCAAACAATGTTCAAGATTACAGTCTATGTAATAGACAATGTTTTCAAATATAGGCTAACGGTTGCAATATTATGTGAAATTTGTGCACAATTTGTGCTGGAACACACACACATTCCCACCTCTGAACATGTCAACATTCAGTCATTTAAGCTAAGCACTACTCAACATTTTTCTGTAATTCAATTAAAGTTAATTTTCATATATAAACGTTTTCTATTTTAATTTATTTAGAAATATTATTTATTTATTTAATAATAATTTTGCATCATTATTCTGTAATTCAGTGTCACAAGATCCTTCAGAAATTATTCTAATTGGCTGATTTTCTGCTCAAGGAACACTTCTTATTATTATCAATGTTAAAAATAGTTGGGCTGCTTAATATTGTTTTGGAAACAGAATTTTCAGTATTCTTTGATGAATAGAAGGAGAAAAAGAGAACAACAGCATTTATTTGAAATGAAAATCATCTTTCCTGACACGTTTGATCGAATGCATCCTTGCTAAATAAAAATGTAAGCAAGTATTAGTGATTTCATCAAATTTAGATATTGCATTGGAATAGTGTTTGGTAGTCTTATTAATGGTATCCTCTTGAAAGTTGAATGCATCTATATTTTGACTCTCTCTGTCTGCATCTGGCTGTTGTTGAAGGTTGATTTTTATTTATTTATTTTATCAGACTGCGTTTGTGTGTTTGTTTAACAGGGGCTTTTACCGAATCGGTTTGTATAGTTGTTTGTATGACCTTCCCCTTACATCCTGTGCATGAATGCGTTGCTTAGGTGTCTGAATCTGTGTTTGTGGATGGACGTTATTTGTTGATGAATGTGTGTGTGCTTTAGTTTTACTCGCATACATAAACACTCTCTTTTCCGTGCATAATGTCAGTCACTCAAGGCCAGACTAAACAGGCCAGGTAAACTCTTCAACACATGTGCTAAGGTTCATTTTTCTTAACCGAATGTACACTCTTAGAAGAAAAGGTTCTATATAGAACCTTAAAAGGTTCTATCAGCGCTACGTATTTGGAACCCCTAAAAGGTTCTATACACTCTTAAAAAAAGGGTTCCTCTGGGTTCTATAAAGAACCATACTTGGCCAATAGAACCTTTTACCAAAAAAAAAAAAAAGGTTCTATATAGAACCATTTTGGAGTTCCATATATGAAGCGGGGGATGGAACCATTTCTGGTTCTAAATAGAACTGTTTCTTCTAAGAGTGTATATACTGTAAGTGGGTTTAGCTGGTGTTATTCAGCAATGCTAATGCTATCCACTATTCTATGGAAGCTTGTTTCTACCACAAAATATATAATAAAAAAGGTAACTGCAACCTTTTTATCGCACAATTCTGAATTTCTGACTTTATTTCTCAGAATTGTGAGTTTATATCTCACAATTCTGACTTTTATAAGATGCAATAGCGAGTTGAGAGAAAAAAAAGTCAGAGTTTTAGTTTTTGTTAATAACAAACCTGCCATGTGCATGGCTACAAAAGCTGATAATGGATTTCTATATGCATCCACATGATTGTTTAGCTAATATTACCCACAATTCCTCGCTTTTTAAAGGTTTGTCAACTTTATCAGTTGGGAAAATTAAAAGGAATACATGGCAAGGGCACAGGGTTTTTGGTATGAAGACAATTTTATAACTTGTATATGTAAATTTATTTTAGTTTATTTTATACATTTATTTTATATTTAGTTTAATTTTTTTTAATTATGGTTTTCTTTTATTTCAGGGAACGAAAATGTTTTCGTATTTAGTTTTAGTTGTCGTACATTTAATTATTTACATTTTTATTAAATAATTTTATTATTTAAATACATTAAAAAATTCATGTAAATCAAATCAATTCAGATGGACGAGGAAAATTTAAATGGCTCTGGCGTTATTTTTACAGAGTTTTCTATAACCAACAGAACTTTTTTTTCCTTCTTTTCCTCCCTGGAAAGGTCCATTTCCTCCCTCTTTCTCCTTCACCAGCATCCATCTCTTCATCACTCTTAGAAGAAAAGGTTCTATATAGAACCTTAAAAGGTTCTATCAGCGCTACGTATTTGGAACCCCTAAAAGGTTCTATACACTCTTAAAAAAAGGGTTCTTCTGGGTTCTATATAGAACCCTGGGGTTCCATACTTGGCCAATAGAACCTTTTACCAAAAAAAAAATGGTTCTATATAGAACCATTTTGGAGTTCCATATATGAAGCGGGGGATGGAACCATTTCTGGTTCTAAATAGAACCATTTCTTCTAAGAGTGTGAGCACTCCCCACGTTGGGATCGCTTGGTTTTGTGTGCTTTTTTTAAACATGTTTTTTTTTCTTTCTATTTTTTCCCTTGCTGTCTGCAGGACAAGGGCCACTCTTTACCGATGGAACAAGTCCAACTGCTGCACTTAAAATATTTAGCAGTCTGGGCGGCATGTTAATGAAAGCGTCTGCGGCTGGCTGCTATTTTAGAGACACCTGTGTGCGCTGTGATTGAATTTTCAGAGGCTGAGGACTGCTGATTTTCATGTCGAGAAAGAGACAGCAAGCGAGAGAGTAGGCAAAACGAGAGATGAACAGACAGGGGTAGTGGGGAGGTGGGGGGGATTGGGGACTGAAAAATGATTTCAATTCTAATGGCTACGGCGGTAGTGTAGCGTTCACTCAGACAGATGGATCATG